TATAGATGATACTTAAAACCATAAAACTAGATGAGTTCACCAAAGACGTAAATACACATATACACACTATATACATAATTTCCTAAGGATATACATATATATACACACACACACACACATATACACACAAACACACACACACACTTACTTGAACATAAGTCGTGAATTGATGTGATTTACAATATACACCTGGAAGAAAACCCTTGACAATAGAGTGATTTCTGTTATGAATCGGAAACGTCATTAAATAACACAAGTTTCTTCTTAGGCAATGCTGTCATGTGGTCTATTATTTGGCAAGTGGTAATACTTGAAAAGTAGAGAAAGCAAGCATCTATTTCTGAATCATGGCTTATGGCATGAAAGGACAAATTGAGCAAAAGGTCAATAAAGCAGAGCTGAGCACAAAATCTCTCCTGCTGTGAGGACAGACTTGCCATGGATGTCACATTCGACTTCTTGAGTGGCTTCAAAGTGTCACTATGAGCCATCCTTTCCATCAACTGAAAAGATAGCCTCACAAATCAACCAGACCACTAATACCGAATTCCTAAGGAGATGCATGAAAGTAGGAAAAGCCAGCAACTGTTTCCTGGTTTATAACAAAGAATTTGCTTAAAGATAAGCTGGGAGCACAATGTCAAGCAAAAAGATGTAACCTAAGACACGTAAGAAAATTTCTACCTGGAAGACAGATGAGAAGATAAAAAAAAGCAGAGTTTATTTTGAGGGCTGAGAAAATCTTTGCTTAGTGCAGCAAACCATAACCAATTTAAGTGTAGGTCTGAAAGATTGACTGGCACATGAGCACATGCTCTGACACTGAAAGCTTTGAGATTTTCAGAAAGGATGATGAAAAAGGAAACACACACATACAGCATGGCCCTACTTAGTAAGTTCTTTATCTTGCTGAACACATATCATCATTAAGAAACGTAAAGAAAGAATGATTTCTTTATAACATTACTTAACGGTGTGTGGTGGACTAGAGTAATGAAATTACAATTATTTATTTATTTTTCCTCCTGAAAAAGGAAAACTAGATTTTCTAGATAAAATATGATTTTTTAAAAAAAAAATATTCAATAATTTGCAAAAAAGAAAAGGAGAAATTCTAGATGCCAGAAGTGAAGAATGCACTGAGAACTAGACAGAGTTAAATAAGATGATACAGCAAGAGTCCTGTGAAGTTATTGAAATAGTAATGCTTAAGAGTACAGGGCTTTCAGGCTGGCAAAATTCCTATAGAGTAGGTACCATCAAAGGCCTTTAGTGTCAGTGATAATGGAACTAACTAAATCTGTCAGCGGAGAAAATTAAGCTTGCCTCTACCATGGCTCTGTTGGGAGAGAAGGGGGACAAAAATTTTCACAAGAAATCAAAAGAATAGCCTTGCAACTTTGACGTGTTTGAACATGAATTTACACAATGCTCATAACATGGGGATATCCCAAGCTGAGAAAGTAGCAATTAAAAAATGATCCTGGTGTGGTACAAACCTTGGGTGGTCTAGAAATCAAATGCAAAATTGCTCTGGAGGGACACATTAGTCTATGTAGGATTTATAAAGGAGAAAATCAAAAGAGGCCAGAGTAAGATGAGCTCACAAGCTCAAAATCAGAAATTACAAAATTCATGGTAAGTGAAAGTCAGCAGTCACAAACACCAGGAGAACTCAAGCTATTGGGTTTAAAACCTCAAAGTAAACCCCAAGAGCATGAGATCCTAGGATGATAGAAAAATTATACACACATGCATGCATTCATATAGCCTAAGAGTATTTGAAAGGATTAAAGAGATAACAGTGTCTTTTGGTTAAATGCAGTAAGCTTGAGAAGACAGAATCTTAATTTAGCAGTGGGGAAAGTTAAGAATAAAGTTAATATGTCCCCATAGTGCTCCCAGAAGCCATGGTAATTGGTGGCAGTCAACTCTGAAAGGTGAAGGAAGGTGACCTTTAAAGCAGGTGAACTGGTTGAAAGTTTAATTGAGAAGAAATTATACCTAAGTATCCTCTCCCCACTCCACGCAGGCAGGAGATTGTAGCTCCCCTACTTAAGAGAGGACCGAAGGATTATACTCTTGTGCAGGTAAAACACAAATTCTCTTGCCTGGGAGGAAAAGTTGAAGGTTGGGAGACCATACTGTTCACATGAGGATTAAGGGATATCCAAGGACGTCTTCTGCTATTTGGTATTTTAACTGGGAGAAAGGTGTTCACCCTCAAGCAGGAGATCGCCATTATTTTCTCTACAGTGTATGGAAAGTCCAAATGAATGAAAAAAAAACCCCTAAAAATATTATCAGCATGATAAGGGACAGCAAAATCAATCTACAGTAAAGGATAGAGAGGGCAAGTATTCCCACATGCATCTTAGTTGAACTTGCTTTTTTGTACCTCTATCTTATGCAGGAGATAATAGATCAAAATCACCAGGAAAGCAACTAACATGAAAACTAAAGTAACTTGAGAGAATCAGTTTATTTATGGGGAAGACACACTACTTTACACCCTTAAAGATATGAGAGAACACTACATCCATCAAAAGGAATCAGATGTAATATACCTTTATATTAACATATACACGTATAACATATATAGCATACCTTTATATTAAGATAGATAATACTTCTAGTGCAACGTTCACTAAAAAAAGTGAAAGCAAACAGTCTTGTCTTGTTCCTGAGCTCACGGGGAAAGTATTTAGTTTTCCATCATAAGTAAGATAGTAGTAGTAGTTTTATCAAAGATGATTTATATCAGGATAACAAAGTTTCTTTCTGTGGCAGCCATGGGAGAGCTCCACTCAAAAGCCTCTTCAAGAGAGAATCTGTGCTAGAAAGAGTAAAGTTAGTTGACAGCCTTCACCTGCCACAACTTCAGGATCCACCAGAACATTTTATCAAAGCCACACTCTTCCCCGACAACTCTCAGCCAATGACTGAACATGGTAGGAGTACTCGAGCTATGATATTGCTGCCTAATACGTGACTCCTCTAATGGGCTATCTTTGTTCCGAGTCTCCCATCAACCTGGCCAATACTCTACTCTCTCAGAGTTGCATTGCATCTCAGCTCTCAAAGAGCTGAGGCTCTTTCTATACAATTCTCCTTTTTTTCTCTCCCTGCATCGTGATCTGAGGGTCTCCTCACCACTGCCCCCTTTTTCCTCTATGCTTCCCAGCATAGAATTCTATACCTAGTTAAAATATAATTTAAAGTGAAAACAAAATAAATATTTTATTACATATAAAATATGAGATTATTATCCCCAGAAGACCCATACTAAAAGAAATCTTAAATGCAGTTCTTCAGACAAAAAGAAAGTAACAATAGAGGAAAATACGGATCTATGCAAAAGAATCAAGAATAGTGCAAATAAACTTGGGTCAGAAAATATTCTTTTCTTGATTTATTAATTTATACTCATTTGGAATTGTTTTCATGGTCCACGTTATGACTTGTCTTAGTGTTCCGTGGACACTTGAAAGTAGTGTGTATGATTCAGTAGTAGGTTGTATGTGTCCTTTAAATGTCAATTAGGTCAATTAGATCTGCAGAACTTGAGCTGGTTGACAGTATTGATCTAATATTTATATCTTTACTGACTTTTATACACTTACTCTATCAATTACTGAAAGAGTGATATTAAAATATTTAACATTTGTTGTGGACTTGTCCATTTCTACCTTTAGCTCTGTCAATTTTTTCAAGTATCTTGTAGCTCTATTAATAGGTAGACATTTAGGATTGTTAGATCTTCTTGAATAATTGGTCCTTTGTTCATTATAAAATACCCTTTTTAACTCTAGTAATACTTTTGACTTGAAATCTACCTTGTCAGATGTTAATATAGCCACTACAGCCCACTTTAGCTTAGTGTTTGCACAGTATGTAATTTTTCAACATTTTAGTTTAAGTAACAATGTCTTTTTATTTAAAATGTGTTTTTTATAAGCAACATATAACATGGTCTTACTTGATCATTCAGTCTGACAATCTTTGCCTTTTGAGTGAGAATCTTAACTCAAATATACAGAATTAATAATTGCTAGGTCTGGGTTTCCTATCTTGGTATTTGGTTTTTATATATCTCATTTGTTCTTTTGTTTGTTTGTTTGTTTATTGCAGTAACATTGGTTTATAACATTGTATAAATTTCAGGTGTACATCATTATACTTCTATTTCTGCATAGATTA